TATTTTTTATTTTTAATTATTTTCATTAATTTTTATGTATTTTTTAAAGTAATTAAAAAAATTATGATATAAATAAATGGTATAAATACAAAAATAAATATTTTTCAATTTAATGATAGTTTATACTACAACCATTTATGTAAATATACCAGAAATAATTAATGATATGAATGTATGTATATAATATCAAAATTACTAATGTGTATAAACTTTTAATAGTTTATTCATGTATAAAATAATGATATTATTACATTGAAATATATAGTAATTCTTAAATTATTAATTCTCTTCCTTTTATAATCATAATAAAAAGGACTTTTTTTAATGTGTGTCTTATTCAAAGTAGCTCATTATGTAATTCTTCATTTATTATATTATTTTATATATATTCATATTTTTTCATATATTATAATTCAGTAAATATAATTTTATCAAATATCTCATACTATGTGTTGAACGCGGTAAAATGTATATAATGAAGGTGAACATTTTGCAGAAACGGAAAAATAACAGTGATATACTTATATAAGGAAATAAAAATATACAAATTATACTTTTAATAAATCTGTAAAGAATTAAATATATTAGATAAAATTTTACTATAAAGATCGATATCCACCTACATTTATCAGTTAATTATGTAAATAATTAATATACTATATGGCAAATACTGGGCATGTGCAAGTATATGGGTTGACGTATAACATTTAGATGATTAAAATTAGAAAATTCTAATGTTTAGAAGCAAATATTATAAAAAAATATATTATCTCCTTAAATTATTAATTACATTATGTGCACAATGTATAATTCATAAAATATATTCTTAAATACTATAATTCATATAAATCTATTAAATATTATATAAAACATGATTATATATACTATACATCATTTTTTTATATATGAAATATTAAATGAATTATGAAATTTTTTTTAAGAATTATTTCATAGATATATAGTTTTCTTTATCATATTAAACCTACCTGGAATTACTGTAATGTATCTTATACTACTATTTTTTGCAAAGAAAAATTGTAATATTTTACGTTTTTTTGTGTTGTACAAAGATTTTATAAAAAATAGATATATTATTTTGAAGAAAATTTTTATAATCTTATAATAATAAACATTTTATATAAATAATACTTTGTTAGATTATTTTCATTCTTTCTAACAAATATTTTCAAAATAGCAAATTCTCTTAACTACAATTATGACACAGACATAAAACAAAAGTGTTAAAATCTCATATTAAAAACAAATGTTGTAATATGAGTACACGCACAATAAAATATTGTTTATATATCTTTAACCAAAAACAATGGTGTTTTATATATGAAAAATAAAAATGATTTTTTTTTCCAAGAGTAAATTTTATCAATTATAATGAACTGTCTATTTCATGTAAATATAGATACAAGTGTATGTATTCCAATAACTCGCATGACGTATAGATTCAATAAACACTGTAAGGATACTTTTAAGCATTAAGGTGGAAAATATAACTATTTAAATCACAATAATATTGGGGATTATGCTTCTGTGAAGGAAAAATCATACCATGGTTATAAAAATAATATTACTGATGTATTAATGTCATAAAAAACAGATTAGGATTTATTTCCTAACATTCTATAATATATTCAAAGAGTTATAATATTATATATACGACCATTTTTTTAGTAAAAATAAAAAACACGAAAGTGAGTTAATAAAATTTAAACAAATTTATGCTGAACCGCTATAAATTATTTAAATCAAATATCTTAATATATAACAGTACAAACCCAAATAAATGAAAATATGAATAAATACTATGCCTTTCAACTGAATAACAACATATAAAATAGAAAGATTTATGTGATAGAAAATTTCCATTAGTTTCATTTGGTTCAGAGTTTCAGTCATACTATCAGTCCTTATAGCCTATACAGAAAAATATATATTTGCAGGCACTCATCAGTTAACAAAAGAAAAGTAATCCCTTTAAAATATTTATAATTAAGATATTATATAATTTTATATTATCCTATATTTTTATAATGAGTTTGCATTAAAACATTTAGAAAAGAAAAAAAAAAATTTATACATTATCATGATAAAAGTAAATATTATATACACAGGGATCATAAAATTTATAATATCATTTCACCTAGATTTTTAATGATAAATCTCAACAATGGAACATATTATATTAAAAATATAAAAATTATAAGAAATAAAATGTAATAAATCATTTTTATAAATAAAAATTACAATCTTGAATACTTGAAATTCATAAAAATATATCATAACAATGTGTAACTCATTATTAACCCTAAAGCATTTTGAACAGAAGGAATGTTTTAATACTTTTTTTAAAATATTATTTTTTATTATATATAATTGTAGAATTGTAAAAAACACGAAATGGAAATAAATCATGCCAAAAGATTTTATAAATATCAATACGACAATAACAGTGTATAATTGACTTAGGAACACAAAACATAAATTTTAATTTCAATGTGGGGCAAATAAATATTATCTTCATTACAATTTCATAAATTTTTATTTAATTATAGAATATATTTTCCTCAAAATATTTGTAATGCACAGAACATCAATATTTAAATATTTTATATAATGAATTAATGTACTTATGTTATTTATCATATGTTATTTTTTTCTTTTTACAATTAATCTTTTATAAAAAGTAGAAGTTTTATAATATAGCTCAAAATGCCCCTCTTCTATAATCTTCTCCAATGATATAAATGTTCAGTATATGAATTATATTCACATTTATATGGTTTTGGTATTACGTGTATTTATAACAAACTGAATTCCAACACAAATATTATTAAAAATATATAACAAAAAATATAATATATATAAAACAATGTATTGTTTTCGCATATTTTATAATACGACACTTAATAGAAAAAAGCCGCTATTTTCTTTGAGTCACATTAATAATTCATATGTATATCAATAAACATATAGCATCTATTAATATTAAGCTATACATATATATTATAAATATGAGAAATAGAACATTTATAAGCCCATCATTTAATACGTGTATATACAATGTCCTTGTTTTATAAACTAGAAATTTTGCACCTAAAATAAAAAATTCATAACTTCGTATATAATCAACAATGCTAAATTACACATACAAAATATATGAACATGGCATTTTGCACAACCTTAATTTCCGTATTAATATTCAATTTATTAAAAAGACCTTTAATCATATTAATTAAATTAATATTATTTAAAAAATATAATGTTTTTAATTATCCATAATATATGTAACTATAAGACTAATAGTTATTTTTATTAAAGATATTATTATAAATATGTAAACATACATTTATATACAATATATATTTTCTTTCTTATAAGAAATCGTGAATAATGTTTTTTGAAAATAATAACAATAGTAACGATAAATAATCATAAAGTAAAAGGAAATGCATAAAAAATTGATGATAAAATATAATTTATACTAAATACAAATAACAAAATACGTATCATAATATATCTTAAATATGTGATAAATGCTTGAACTGATATTTTGAGAGAAATTCTTCTAGTAATAGCACAATAATATAAGAAATATTGTTAAAAAATATTTTCAAATATAATATGTATTTTCATAGATTTTCATCATATAATATATTTTGCCATCGTATATCTTATACTGCAAAGTAATATACTTAAAAGAAAAAATTATGCTTCATATATCCTAAAACAATAATACACTAAAAAATTAAAAATAAATAATAATATATAAAAATAATTTCACCTATGGAACCATAAATATAATCCTGAAACTTTTTGTTTTTTGGAATTCTTATATGTACAATTTTTAATATATCTCTTTGCGTATTGAATGAATAAAAATATATTAGTTTTAAAAAAAAAAAATCATTTTAATAAAAAAATACACATTTATTATTTATTATTGTTTTATTTCGCCCAACGAATAGCTCTTTTCCGTTCGTTCCATGAATACTTTTGTGCAATAATACTCATCATGATACAGGTATATATAACAAAAATTTTCCTTTATGTGTCCAAATCAGAACTATTATATTTTACTGTGTCTTAAATTAAAACTTCTCGGTAAATTTATATATTCATCAATTGGATAATCTTCTATTATATTCCTATCTATTTTATTATTACGTTTCCCTTTATATCTTCCAAGTAATAATTTTTTTAACCAATATGCAAATGGAGTAAACTAATGAAAATATGGCATATGTACAACATGTTTTATGTATAATATCTGTAAAGTTATTTAAAAATTAATTAAATTTATTAAATATAATGTAATACATGTTTTCTGTTTATTCACTTTCATAATTACTTTGCACAATATAATAGTAAAAACAATAATTCCTATAACTACAGTTCCAATAGTCATAGCTTTGGAAGCTGAAAAAGCCAAAGTACTATATGAAATGTCATATTCAGAAATTTGTCTATCTTTAAAATTATATCCATCTTGATCTATATTTCCAAGGGTCCATTTTCCGTATCCTTCTTCCAGTTTTGCTATATCATCAAAATTTTGCCGTACAGTACATTTCAAATCAGATATTTCATGTCTGTTATTCCTATTAAAAAAATCCTCATAATCAGTGCAATATAAATACCCAGTACCCTTTGTTTTGCAGGCGTCCATTATCCTCTTATATGCTGCGGAATATTTGTCAAGAAGAGCCCTATATTCAATACTACAATACCACGAGTATTGTTGTAAATCTTGTTGAAGGACTTCATAATCCTTAAAATAATCAAATAAAAGCTTAATATCCTCAAAGTTCTGTTGAGTCATATAATATTTATGATATTTATCAAAATTACATATACTGAGACCTCCATGAGTTACTAGTATAAATTTAAGTGTTTCCATAAGAGCGAAAACGATATTTCGATCAGATAATTTTTCATCTAATGTATGAACCAACCAAAAGTATAGATAATCACAATCTACAGTTCTAAAGTTACTTGTCTTATTTTTATTATAGGCATAACATAAGGCATTAAGTATTTTTTTAGAATCATTATCACTCAACCTCTGTATATCTGAATGAGACTTTGCTATATTGTAAAAATTCTCACTCTCACAACTATCAACTCCATTATCAAAATTGTCGTACATCAGTTTTGAAGGCAATTTTATAAGTGCTTCTTTCTACGAAATTAAAACAAAAGGTAATTCATAAATTTTTATGTATAAAAAAACAAAATACTTAATTTAAAAAGAAATGTAATTTATTAACTAAAAAATAATTTATATTGTATAAAAAACGTACTCCTAGAATACGACGCATTTTGTACAATTTTCAAAAAGTGATATGCAAGCGAAATAAAAGAAACATATATTTAACTATACGTTGAATAATATATTGGAAAGGCAAATATAAGGTTAATAAGCATATGTATACTTCTTCTTAGAAATAGGAACTTGTGTTTATTATTTTCTCTATCTTCATATACTTATATGATATACAATTTCTTTAATAATATCTTCTATGATATATGAATATATAGTTCCTTATAGGATATATTATATAAATATATATTTTTTAAGCATTCCATGATATTTATTATACGAGTGTAAAATTAATTATTTGGGTTTCTTAATGATCTATATTATATATTAGTGTACAATACACTTATAATATAAGCTTCCTATACACAATATTTATAAAGCAAGGTGTCATAGACACTATAGATTACATTAAGTATTATACGTTTTATTATTCTATAAAAAATATGACTATTTGAATTTCAATTATATAATTTATATTAGTAAGGATATATATGAGTGCTTTAATTAAACAGGTATCACTATTTTTGTTGATGCGATAAATTCAGTAGTCTCTTAAAATTTTTTTTTCTTTAATTCATTAAGTTTTCCTGCATTTCCATACTATATTTATGAAGTAATATTTATATATTTTTGATATTAACAGCAACATTATAATCCTGTACATTTAATAATTTATATGTGATTTTACATATATCATCAAAATTTTTTATTATTGAAATATATATAAATTTTCTATATTATATGTTACATTAAATGGATATTATATAAACCCACAAAACTTTTTATACTTTTTTATTTTCATTATTTGAAAAAATATATATTTATAATTTAAAATTTATAAAAAAAATTTTTTTTACGTATTTATAGAGCTATTACTTGTTGACAAGAATAACTATGTCATTTTTCAAATAAATTAATATATATGAAAAGTTAAGTCTATTCATTAGAATATTACATTAAAGTGTCTCTCATAATTATTAGATAATTAAAAATATATAAGAGTGTTTAATTAATACGAACATTTTTATATGAAATCTTGTATATTTTTGTGTATGTTTTTATTAAACGGTATCATAGCTATATTATAGTGAACTTATTTATATATAAAAACAACATTAACCTAATTAGTTAAGCATACCTTTTAACATATATCAGTAAAACATATTTTATATAAAACTACGTCTGAAATTTGTAATTTCCTTAAATCCCCTGGTTTTTTTAAAAAAAAATATTTTTCATAAGTGTTTTCTTGTATTGTTAATGATTATACGTTTTCACATAATAATAACGTATGAATGTACATATTAATTAAATAGAATATAATATGTAGTTAAAATAACATGTAATTTTTACATGATGTCTATGTTTATCTTGTGCCTTTCAATAGAAGGAATATATAATTAAGGAAAGCAAAAAATATGTCTATATATGAACCTATTACACTAAAATTTTTTTCAATTGAATTCTAACAACTATTAAAAAAACTAAATTAGAAATGACATATTAGAATCTAATATACAAATTATTTAGAAAATGTAGCAGTTGGTAATCAACGATAAAATAATAATACTTTTCAACTGTTCTTTTATTTCATACATTTTATGGTTTTATAATAAAATCGAATAAGTAGTAACATTGTTTTTTTTTTTTTTTTAACAGAATGTTATATTTTTTATATTTGTTTTAATTTGTAGATTTTTCTTTTATAATACTTCATGCTCTATTGACACACTCGTCGTTTTGATTATAAATAATTACAAGTTCTTAATTGCTAAGAAATTTTTTTTTAACGTATTTATCTCAATGAGTTAAAATGTTTACATGTAAATTTTCCATATAATTACATTACTAACAAAATGAAGTGAAATAACTACAGAAATAAATACAGAATAGTGTATATTAAAATTTTTTTTCATTATGATTTTATTAAGACGAAAACAAAATTTGCATACAGAAATACATATTCTTTCTTCTGTTATTAGCTTCATAAGATCTTTAAACATCGATATTTGTTATTTCCGTATATGTCATGATATAACAGCATATAAAACTCTTTGAAAATTCCCAATAATACATAATGTATAAAATAATTATTAAT